TTAGCTTAGAATTAAACCGTCATAATTTTTAAACAACGGCCTCGCTAAATTCCCTGTTGAAAGGCAAGGCACAGAGTCGCTTATAATAAATAAAAAAACTGCCAAAAATGGTTGAGTGCCCAACTAACAAGTTTAATTTGCAAAGCCGCCAGCTTTAGGTTTCCTGTATTCTGTTAAAATTCATTGCAAAATGCCGATTGCCGTCGGCATTTGTTTCTCATAATCTGTTAAATGTTAACGCCAATCAGCTATGTTAAATGCCCAACTTTACCGACAAAAGGGATTCAATTCTGTTAAATAACAGACCGGTATTTACGTCAATTATGTTGTCTTTGCTTATTTCGGTAATTTTTTCAATTTCTTTAGGCTTATTATTATGAATTTGCTTTGCACTACTTGCAAAACGTAGTAAAAATGATCAAAAAAAGTAGTAGAACTAACCACACGAATCAACAAAGGACGCTCAAAAGGCAGCAACTTAACAGCAATAATAAACAATGCAATTGTGAAAAAAATGTCATGTAAAATTAAGTTTCCAAGGTAAAATTATTTTCCGAATAGTAATTGGTGGATGAATATGTTTTCTTTTACTTTTTAACCTCTTGGGATAGTGAATTAGTTGTTTTATATTTCTGCTCTATAATTTCTAAATAAAAGCAGCTTTCGACTAATTAGCATTATACTCCAAAGTTGCGTTAATTTCTTGCTGAGGTAGTTTGTCTTCGCGTTCGTGGACGAAGACATGTACCAATGATAGTGAAAGCTTTTTTGTAAATATTCCCATTCGCATGTCGCTGAAGATGCTCTAATTTATCCAAACCGCCCATTTCGCCAGTCATCAGTTACAAATTTTCGTTGTCACCTAATTTGCAATAGTGCGTGGGTCTGTAGAGATTGTTTTTTTTGGTCAATTTTTGATTTTCGAGGATCGTTCGATAAAATACAGCATACTAACTGCTTCGAGTTTATAATCAAAAAATCAATACAAACTGAATTACTGCAAGCGCCAATGTTCATAATTTTACATCTTTTACATCTACTGTTGCTTGAAATTTCGTAGCGGTACGGTATAAACATATGCTCTTACATGCATCTTAGTGCACCTAGACCTACTTTTGCTACAACAAAAAACATGTGATCATACTTTGTTGTATGCACCTTCTAAAAAATTGCAAGACAATATTATTCATTTAATGTCATAATCTATTTTTATATTGAAAAGGTCCAAATATAATTAATCCAAATATTTAATTCCAAATATCTATCATAATTTTTTGACCTGAACAAGATTTAGCGAAGGCTTGCTTTTTTCTGTGCTTCCCCCAGAGACACAGGGTATGATTTACAAAGCATGTATCAGATTAAGGAAGTGCGATTTCAAAGTGATTTGAGGGTTTGATGTCCAGTCAGAAAAAAAAGACAGTTTATCGTACGATACAATCACTTTTTGGGCTGGTAATATTCGATTGTTTTCGGATGAAGCAAGCTTGAAAAACAAACACAAAAGACTGCGATTATTTGACGACTAGTTGCATTATTTGCGATAGGCAAACTGGGGTATAACCTTTCTTAGATATAATAATGCCTTTTATGATCAGACAACCCCACGCAGGTGAAGCTTGTATTTTCTAAATCACTTTAAAAAGAATCAATCTTTTGGAAATGAATAGAAATGTTATCGTAACTATTCTTATTGTCTATTTCTAATCTTCCTCTTACCGCCGCTATTGACGATATATTTCGCTTCTGCTATTGTTGTTGCTATTGTTATTGCCGTTAATATTATTATTGCTTTATTATTTATTGCTCTTCTTTTTACGATTATTGTCATCGTTTTCTATTTTTTTTAAAGAAATTTTTCGATTTTGGGACAATTTTTCACTTGATTTATATTTTGTGCACTCGTAAAAATGTCTTTGATTTCTCTCGCAAACAACCGTTAGTTGTTATTTCCTTTACAAGTTTTATAGAAAAAGGATCCATGTCTTGAGAATAGAGAGAGAGAGAACAGAGATGCTTTCAATAAATGGCAACGCCTTGCCATGAACAAAAAGAACGAAGAAATTAATAACAATTTTCTGTTAAAAATGGAAATGTAATCTACTTTAAATGTACGTAAATCTACGTAAATGTCGACCTACGTCAAATATGAAAGTCTAGTTATCTAACGAAATCATTCATTGCCTTTTTGTTTGTTATGGTTTCCTCTCCTTTATTGCTGTTGCTATTAAAGTATTGCTGGTGCTTTTTTTTTATGGGTCGGGTGATGAATTTTGTCAAGATTCTATGAATTACTAATAAAATTATTACAGAGAATATATATTATGGGACAAAAAACTTAATGACCCTTGCCCGTTAGCGCTAGGTATTTAAAGGCGAAAAAATATGAAAGATAAGGAAAAAATATCAACAAAATCCAAATATTCTCCCGTTAATCGCAATTAACTTATATTTTGCACCTTTGTTGTATATCGTGGCTTCCATGCTTGAAATAAAAAAACGCTCACAATTTCTTTTTGTGATTTAACTTGTATATCGTAATATTTTATATATTTGTCAACTTTTAAATTTTAAATATTGTTTTTTTTTTTTTTTTCATTTTAAATTCATTTATCAAGTCTGTCAGTAACAGTGCGTTTTTGTTTTGTTTTTTTTTCTTTTTACTCTCTACTCATTTTAAATTTTTGGTAGTGTTTGGTTAATTGTTTCTTCTTTTTATTAACTATGGACGGCTTAAAACATAACAAAAAGGAAAAGCTTCTGATTTGAAAAAAATAAAAAGCGTTTCTTAAATTTTTTTTTTTTTTTTTTTTTAATATATTATATTTTTTCTTCTTTTCTATGTTTGGAATCTTAAATTGTTTTCATGTTTGTTACTATTTCACTTGTTTACAATTGTTAAATCATGTCTGTTTGTTTGTGTGTGTATGTGTGTGTGTATGTATTTGTGTTTATATGTTTATGTCTGCAAGTGTTTATTTGACTATAATAGCTAAACCTAAGGAGGAGACAAAAAAAAAAGAAAGAAAAATGCCAGAAATGTATTAAAAAACAAGAAAAGAAAAGAAAACGTTTTGATTAAATAACTTATGATAAAGAAGAAAGAGGAAAGTAAATCGATAAATTAAACTAGATTGAGTTTGTAAGTGTAAGTGTAAGTGTTCGCTTATGTATGTTATGTTAAGTTAATTTTTTTGTTTTTTTGAAATTTTCAATTACTATTAATAATACACAGTCGCCTTATAACAAAAATATTTAAACAAATATTACAATTCTTTTTTAATTAAGCAGAAAAAGAAAATAGATGATGAAAAGGAAAATGCTAATTTACATATATGTTAACTTACAATTAATTTATATAAATTAGAAAAAAAAAAAAAAGGAAAAAAAATAGTAATAATGAGTATAAATTAAATACTTTCATTATACATTAAAAATATTATGTGTTGACAGTAAATTTATTTATTATTAAGCATACTATGATAATTTTTGTTTCTTTGTTTAATTTTATTTTATTTATTTTTCCTTTTCTTTATACAACTCTTAAAAGTTACATTTCAACTGTTGCGTAGATTGAAATTTAGACTTTGTGTTTGGGTGCTTTCTGGTTCCTAAAGCGAATTGCTGATATTTTAGATCAACTTGTGACTTCGTTATGTGTGGTTCTTTTTTTAGAATATATTCGTTTAAGGCAAGCAACAATGCAGCGAGGATTAGTAATGTTTTCATATTTTCAATCGATATCAATTCTTTAATTTTTTTATATTCTTTAAAATAATGAAATTATTTATTCCAAGAGACCAAAAATTATTATTAAGAAAATAAAGAAAATTAAGTTCAGCAATAGTTTTGAAAGTTTTTCACAAATAGATCAAAAATAAAATATTGTTTACAATTTCAAGAGCAAGTAAGCACAAAAGTCGCTCCTTGTGTGAGATACAAAAAAATGTGATTAATAATAATTATAATTATTTAACAAAACGTTTAACTACAATATGATGTGTAATTGTTTTTTCAATGTCCAACGGACAAGTCAAGTTTTCTCGTACTACGAAAATAGGTATTTTAACACTATGGAGTGGAATATGTTCACATTTTTTTTTTATAAAAAGCGTAACTAATATTTTCTTCAGTGTCAAATCTCAGACAACAACAGCAACAACAAGGAACAAAACAAAAATTTCTTATTCATCGTTACTTGTTTTTAAGTTTTTCAAAATCCAGCTGAAGCACATTGCGACAATAAGAGGTTTACAGAATTTTCTAATGAACTTTTATTAAAGTGTTTAAAGAATTAATTATAAGAATTTCTAGAAAACTATTGTCCCAAATTGAAGCTAGGGGAAGGCGCTCATATATTGAAAGAATTTTGGGATATGTTAATATGTCAGAGGATATCCCTTACTTCAACATGACTTGACCAGAAGAATGTACAAGCATGTACAAGTAGACTGACTTACATAGGCTTATTTCAATTTCTTCCTTGCAAAATAATCAACTTTAACGTTTTTTCTGCTTTTGCTTGCATTTTGAAGTTATTGCGGAAAACTTGTACAAAAAGAATTTATTTAGAAAATGTTAGGTATACACGATTTACAAAACCGAAAAATTACATTTAATTAGTTTTAGTCGTTTAATGTTTTCGTGACGAAATAATGCTGTGCTTATCGAATGTTTCGAATCGAATAATTATTCCAATTCTCGTTAATTTTGAATTTTTGATTTAACAAAATAGCTGTAGATTAGACGTACGATAGAAAATTTTCGAAATATATTTTAAATTTTATATTCCTTATCTATACGATATTTATGAAATGTTTTTAAAGTATCTTTAGTCAATTTATTGATTGATTTTATATAGTTATTATTTTGAATTTAAATTTTTATATTTTTGTGTTACATTTTAAATAATTTATAATTAAGCCTTCTACTATAGGTTTCACTTCTTCTTTCCTTTTTCTTTTTTTTTTTTCTTTTTTTTTTGTTCTTTCGTTTTCAATAATTTAATTAAATTTCGTTTGTGTACACTCGGTTTTTTTATAATATATTCGTAAATTAAATATATATTTATTACTATAAAGCATCGTTGTGTTTCATATATCCCAGGGGTAATTAAATTTGTGATAATAAGAAAATGAAAATATTACATAAACTCAACAGACACTAAAGGTTTCGTTTTCCTTTACACCGCATCAAGAGACTGGCTTTTCCGTTTTCAAAGCCAGAGAAAAAGTACTTAACAAAACTACTTTCTTTTTTATACTCATAAATAAATTTCATTTATGAAATTTTACATATATGTATATATGTATGCATATATACGACACTGACTGAGCTAACATACAAAAAGTTTATATAAATGTTTCTTTTTCGTTTTTAATTGTTATACAAATGAAAATCAAAAATATGAAAATAAAAATAAAACAAAAAAAAAAAAAAAAAACACAAAAAACAAGAAACAAAAAATTAGAAAAGAAAGGGGGAGGTGTGCGAAAAGTTTCTTCAAGGGGTTTTCAGCACCAACGTATCTTTTTTCCTCGTTCGATTTGTAGTGGTTTGTCGTTGATAGAAGTAATTGCGTCCAAATTTATCCAATAATCTATAAGATTTTGTTTGGAGGAATTTGCTAAGCGTAGTCATATATTTACTAACATCCTCCTGATCTTCCAACAAATGTATGGATATCACTTCAATTTTCACTTTATCAAAGGGTAGAGTTTGTAAAATCTAAAACAAAAAAATAAAAATAAACAAACAAAAAAAATATTCTTTTATTATTTCATTTTTTTTTTTTTTGAATTTATTCATATACATCGTGTTAAAAAAATGCAACTTTCATTTTCGTTCAATAAAAATAAAATACATATTTAATTTGTATTACATGCAATGTTTCAGGCTGTAGCTAAAAATGCAATAAAGTATATGCTTAGACTTAATTTTAATTTACTTAACAACTTACCTCCAGCTCATGACCATGCACACCCAAGCTAAGCAAATCGTATTCGACACGACTCGAAGCCAACATTATAGTGTATAGAGGAAAGCATTTGACACGCGAATTGAACCATGATGTCTCTTCATCGAGAAGACTGTTAATTCGCACTTCAGATTCTTCGTTATGAATAGTAACCTAATAAAACCAAAAAAAAAAAAAAAAAAAAAAAATTAAAAATGAATAAAAAAGAAATATTAAAACGAAACTATTATAAATAAGCAATTATTTCTCGATACACTTACCTCTTTGGGATAGGAATTGGGTGAAACGCACGCATGAACGACTTGTACACGTGGTCTTAAAGCATTTTGCTTACGAAGGGTAAAATAACGTCGGGGCTCCGGCTCAATTATCAACGCCGCCCAATTTAAAGTCTCCGAGAGCCAGGGGGCTGTCATTAAATGCCCTAAAGTGCCTGTTAGCGATTGTATAACGGCGCCGTTGGCTTTACCGTTTAGCAAATTTGCCACAAAATAGGCCATTTTTGGTGTCAACTCATTGGGATGAGCACTAAAATTCAAATGTTGATCGATGCCAACCAGGACATGAGCACCACCAACGCCACTGCCACTAGTTTCATCTGTATGCGTTTTAAATGGATGCAGAGGGTATTTGCGCATGTGTATCTCACGCAGGAATGCTATAAGTTGAGGATCATCTTGAGCCACATTGTAGAGCTCATAATCGCGCGACATATTTAAACGAAATTGTTGATGGCGTATCTCTGTAAATGGAAATTTCATATGAAAATGATTAGTTTTTCGAAGATGAACGAGGAAAATTCAAAATAAGGTTTGCAAACTAAATGATTTATAGTTTTGGCTTTAGGGTCTCATCATACATTATACGTCTTCTTGTAGATTAATGCTTTTTTCCAATGCAGTTGGATGGGACTTCAACTGGCGGATTGACGATTATCACTGTTGCTTTTATCTGGACGTCCACTGTATAGTTCCATATGCGATGCGAGACCTATGAAACGGGAGGCCACAGTTAACAGATCAAGCTTCAGCAAGTAAGCTGCCGGAGTACTCCTAGAGTCCCAGAATGAATTACAACCGCCTTTGGAGTTCGCAAGGTTTTGAGTACAAATATAGTGAAATAATTCGAAGCGATGAGCATATATAACAGACAGATACATAAATATAGGCTACAAGGTGCTACAAGATCAATTAAGTCCATTGCCATTCTCTATTCCTGATTAAGATGATGTAGTGTGAAAGTTTAGTTTGAAATATTGGTGCATTATTTATAGCAGGAAAGAGCTTTTCTCGTCGTTCAGTCGATAGCTTCTACGCGCATACATGAGCATGGTGTTGGTCAGGGAGAAAGAAGCGGAGAAAGAGTGCCCACAACTTGAAAGATGTATGCACGATTGGTAAGCGTTATGCGTTTAATAAGCATGGAGCCGTGTAAGCGCACTTTACGCTAGTTAACGACTTTACAGAAAGATCATTTTCTACAGACAGGATCAAGCCCAAACGAATTGAAAGATCAGCTGATTGCTGCACTTAATTGCTTATCAACACTGAGTTTTATGACTTTTTAGATAGAAATAGAAGAGTCGTCATAAGATATTTCTTGGTGAAAAAGTTTGAAGAAAGGGAGACATTTGATCAGAGCAACTGAAAACATCACTACGATCTCACAAGGAGCTAAAAACTATCTAAGGAATCCTAGTAAGTGGCTTTATGATGTAAAAGAGTTTGAAGAAAGAAAGAGTTCTTATCAAGTCCAAGCCTGGAACAAGTTCGACAAGATTAAACGAAAATATCGCTGCGATCTCAAGACGTCTTTTGAACTATCTAATGACACAATGAAATAATATGTGAGAATTTTCACTTAAGCCGAAAAATGTGGGGCAAATTGTGCGAAAAGATCTGCTCGTGAATTAACAGCAAAGTCATCCATTGAAACATTAACAAGCCAAATTTACTGCATTTGTCGTAGGTATAGCTTCGCTCCGAAACAAAATATCTAAAACTAGGCTTTTTCTTTTGCAAATTTATTTGCCGCTTTTTCCAATCGAGCAAAGTGCTTATAGAGAGATATTCTGTAGATTATAAGTCTTCGTTTGAAACCAGTTGTAGCTGCCAGTGATGATAAGGCATATAAGAGATATTTACAAATCGATCTCCCTCTTCATTCGGTTGTTTGGCACAACCTAATCTCGTCCCTATAGTTAGCAGCAAATGGTTTCTACTGATAGCTTGACTTATTTCCGATATCTTCTCATAATGTTTATTGATAGCTTTAATAGAATTTTGACGCGTTAAATATGTCACAGCTTCTTCTTAGAACAACAGTTCATTGATGAGTTTTTTTTTTTTGTGAAACTTTTTTTATATTGTCTGAGTAAGGCGACAAATGTGAACACCTTGCGTACATAAATACATGGAATGTAAATGACCATACGGTAATGACATTTGAAGGCCTGTAATGTGCTCTCAAGCAAGGAAAGCTTATATCAACAATTAATTGCGGTTAACTGTTTTTTCTCAAGTTCTTTTTCTTGCTAATGCCCTTTAAATGTCTACAAAAGAAAAAGAAAAAAAAAACGAAGGAGGCATTAGGGTTGATAGCTTAGCTTTACAAAGCCTGCGATCTTAGAGCGCTTCATATTTAAAGAGTCACCCCTTAATAAATTATAAACGTCGCTTTCTTTTTATGAAATGGCATTTTGAACAACTGCCAAAATATTGCTTAAATAATATATATATATATATATATATATATATATTTTTAGTAAAAAATTTGCAAAAGGTTGGCACTAACTATTGTTAATAATATTGTTAATACCCTCCGCTCATCAGTCACTGATAATATTTTCTATAAATCTTGAATTTTTTCCCTTTCATTGTAGAAATTATATACATATATGAGCCGTATATGGTTCCAATTGTCACGTAGCTAGTTTTTCCAAACAATACTTAAATCTATTTCTAAAAGTAAACTGTGAAATATCCTACGTTACCTGAGTGACCGAAGGCGAAGAATCTTAGCTAACAACTTAATGGTCGTGAGTTCGAATCTCAAGTGCGCTGGAGTTTTCAATGAAGCCAAATAGCCTTAGGTGCTGGTACTTTAAGACTTTTGTCTTATAATTTACTTGTTCGGCTAAATTAATTATATTAATAACAAGTAAGAAAGTTATATTTCGTATACTCGCCGCGTGAACGCTTGGTCAACCTTCAGATCTTAAGGTTTAAGAAATCACTTCTTTCTAAACGTCCCAAGACTTTTTATGTATTAGAAGTCTACCGTAGTTAAGTTATAACTAAAACACTATCGTATTCTAATCCTCAACTCCTTTCGTTTTTGATACCTGTATCGAAAGTATTTATCAAAAAACATTTATCCACCTGATGGCGGTGTCTACCATATCCACTTTAGAATTGATCCATTTTTAGACAGGTAATATATCATTTGAGGAATGTTTGATCAAATATGAAATCGATTTTTTCATTTTTGCGACCAGGAGAGCGCCAACAATAAACATCACACAGACGGACACATGAACACACATGGCTTAATCAATTCAGTCTTCCACGCTGATCAAAGATATATACACTTTATAGATTCTCTGAAGCTTCCATTATGAAATATGTATATACCGAATATGTAGAATAAGTATATAAGCATGAAAATAGCCTATATATATATATATATATATATATATATATATATATT